CCTACGGTCCTCTATTGAGGATAGAAAACCTCACGGTCCTCTATGGCAATATAAGATCTAAAGGTTCTCTATTGGCAATAGAAGACCTTAAAGTCCTCCATTAACAATATAAGAGCTCAGAGTCTTCACAACAGAAGACCTTTGGCTCCTGTATTGAAAATAAAAGACATCGTCCTCTCCTACTGAAAATAGAAGACCTCCCGGTCCTCTATTGAAAATAAAAGGCATATCTACCCTCTATTAAAAACACGGTCTTCTATTGAAGACAGAAGACCCTACAGTCCTCCAATAAAATAGAAGATTAAAATAGATGTCCTCACTATTGAAAATAGAAAACCTAACTGTCTCCTATTGACAATAGAAGATCCCACAGTAACTCGCTTTTCCATCCCTGACCTATGTTCTTTCGGTTTTGATTTTATTTGCAATTTTTATTTTGATTTCTGTTTTTCTCTTCTGTTTTGATGAAGAAGTTTCGTGGAGAGCCGCCAGCCAACCAGGCCGTGAGTGAGCACAACACACAACAATCTCATTGGACGTACCAGTCAAAGGAACTCTTTTGTCTTCAGTTTCATTCGATACCTTACAGGAGAATGTTGGTGGCGGTGAAACAAATGCATATCTCCGATAAGCGCGTTATGGGCATATGACCGATTCGACCCGACGGACCAAATGTAATTAAGTGATGTTTGTAATTTTGTATATGTGTATGTTGAAGGAAATGTTTTGAAATATTTTAATAACATCAACATCAACAATAATAATAGCAGCAATAAAAATAAAACAAAACATATTTTGCATTTATTTCAAGACCACGAAGCAAAGATTTGTGGTTTATGTGAACATCAATAACAAAAAAAAATAAAAAAAATCTGAAATTTCCTGATAATTCCAATAATGATTTTTATGTAAATTCTTTTTTTTTTTTTTTTTTTGTTATCCAGCAGCAATATGTGTGCATATTTTTTTAAACTTTTTTAAATAAAAGATTAAAATCAAAAAAGTAAATAAAAAAAATGTAAAAAATCCTTCGTCCCAACAACGTAAATCGCATTGAAAATAAGTAACAAAAAAAATCACGAAAAAATTTTAAACAAATGACAAACCAAATAACTCGTAAATAAAGTCGTCTAATATAAACAAATAGTGTACCCATCGAAATTGAACATCAACAAGAACTTAGCAACAACAACCACAACATCAATTACATTTAAAATCAAATAAAAAAATGTATGTAAAGTCAATTACAAGGTATATGTAAAATACGTAACCTATCTATCTACAGCAGAAAAGTTACTTCTATTTTACTTCGTTTTGTAAATGTCAGACGGATATTTACATATGCCAAGTGAACACAAACACATGAACATGCATGCATAGATATACAGACACACACACACACACACATACATACATACATCAATTTCCTAGTCCTTAATACATACCGTGATAGATACATACAGACAGATATTTGTATATCCTTATTAAATATCCAACCGAGTTTTTGTTGTGATAGACTGGCGGTCTCAGTCAGTCTGTCAGTCTGCTACAACAACAACACCAACAATGATTCCAACATACCAAGGAAACATTTTGCATAGAATCAACCACAACAACAACACCAACATGACAACAATAATGTTATGTCTATCACAACAAGTTGGGAGATTGCCAGAGAGAAACAATTTGTGTATCTCTCACTCTCTGTGTCTCCTTTGTTAGTCGGTCTCTTCTCTTCGTTCTCCGTTATACCCCAGTGTCCTATTTGGCAAACATGTTTTATGTGTTATGTTTCTTACATGTCCTGCTTAACATTACTAGAGTTGCCAGCTTAAAATATCAAGCAAAGTTGTAGAGCAAATTCAGTAGAAAACCTTTTTTTTAAGACATGAAGTTCTAAAAATGAAAGCGAAACCAAGGAAGTCACTCAAATTCGTCATACCTGATTTGTATACCCTTAGCCATGTGGCTAGAGATGTTATTTATCATTTGATACGGCCAAAACGTGCCTCATGTAAATAACAGTTTTAGACTTTAGGCTTCTCTTTTAAGGACATTTGGAGTCGATCTAGGGGTGTCCGTGCGTTCGTCTGTCTGTCTTGTTGGTGTGCACGATAACTCTCGAAGGAAGTATCCGATTTGGTACAAACTTGTTACATCGTCATATTATTATTAAACTTAGATCGAGTTCGGAGATGGGCAATATCGATCCACTCCTTCTGGTACCTCCCCCACAAAATGTCAACATTTTCAAAGAAAATAATTTACTGCATAGAAAGAGAAATGATAATAATATCGGTACGTTTAATCAAGCACCAATCCCCAAAGAGCTACAATTTGGAATAATTATAACTCTTATAAAATGCGAGGTGAGCATCCGATTCTCTTTAATTATCGCACATCACAATATTTTTATTGACCCAAGATCTGGTGTGAAGATGGAATATGTCAGTCCACTCCTTCAGATACCTCCTCCACAAAGGGTCAAAATTTTGAATTAGTATTAAGCTCGTAAAACGCGAAATTAACATCCGATTCCATTTAGACTTGGCACATCTCAATATTTTTATCAGCACAAGATTTGTTATAAAGATGGTAATGCTTGAACCATTCTTTCCGGTACCGCCCCCACAAAGGGTCAAAATTTTGAATGATCAAAACGAGGATAAAATCTGAAATAAACATCCGTTGCTCTTCATATTTCACACATCCCATTATTTCTACTATAACAAGATGTGGTGCAAATGGAATGGAATATATCGGTCCACTACTTCTGGTACCTCCCCCACAAAGGGATAAAATTTTGAATATTCTTCATGTAGCTCATAAAATTAAATAAAAATTAACATCCGATTTCATTGAGGCTTGGCACATCTCAATATTTTCATCAATCATGAAATTCGTAATAAGCATCCGGATCTCTTCAAATTTCGCACCTCACATCTTCGGTGAGATAAAAAAAACTGCAACAAAGTCAAACGCGATAATTTTAATATACATTTTTAAATTTTATTGAAGGAAAGCAAAAAATGTCGGAAATAGCATCCAATTTTAGAATAGGTTTAGATTTGATCGAATTGGTCACATTTGTCATGAATTATGGCCTTTAAACGGACAATGAAACCGTCAAACGCTGCCCGAATGTTGATCTGCAGTATTTTGGCCCATTCCCGGTGATGTGCTTGCCTGAGGTGATCGACACTTTAGTATTTTTTAGTGTCAACCTTGCTTTCTAAAATACTCCAGACCAAATAGTCCAACGGATTCCTATCCGGAGGTTTTGGTGGCCCTTGTGCGCTGGAAATAAACCAAAGAACCTCATTTTGTAACCATTCTTGGGTGGAGCGTGCTGAGTGCGATGGTGCTGAGTCCTGTTGGAATGTCCAGGGTCTGCGGCCAAAATGTTTGCGTGCCCAAGGCCTTCCTTCCAGAATATTTTCGGCATTTATTCTGATGCCACGGTGGATTAATACGAGCGGAGCACGACCATCGGCTGTTATGGCGACCCACACCATCAACATGGCCGGCGCTTGAGTTCTGCACATTTTCAGTGACCCCTTTGCCAAGTAAACACGATCATTTTGTTTGTTTACAAACTGCTGAACAACGAATGTATTCTCATCGGAGCGGAGAAAACCAAATTCGGCAGTTCACCACTTTCGGCCGAGCGAAGTAACTTTTTAGCCCTTTTGAGTCTATTTTTTTCTGTTACGGTGTAAGTTCTTGAACTTTTTGGAATTTGGAATGGGCTCATTTTTTCAATATTTGCCGAATGGAATATTGGGATATGTTCAGCTTACGAGCCATTTTTCGGCCACTGCGACGCGGGTTTCGATCAAGTCGCTTCTTTACTTTTCGAACCATTGCTGCTGATGTTGTGTTTTCTTCCGTCCACTCCCATGACGTCGGGCTACGCTACCAGTATCACGGTAACGAGCGATGGTACGAGACACAAAAGATTTGTTCACATTTAAATGGTCTAACGATAGCCATTTGTGGTTTTTCAGCCAAATATAAAGAAATCACACTATCAGGCTTAAATTCCATTACGAATTACTTTTTTCTGGAAAATTCTCACCAAAATGCTTTTGTACGCTTGTAAACAATATAATGAGCTATCACTGGAATAATTTTAACAGCTGTCGGACGAGTGGCTTAGAAATGACAGTAGTCTGAAGTTGGTTGCTCTTTTTTCATCTCTTCATCCGATATAAATTTAAGCCTTCTCTAAGTCATGGCATACACCCTAATGCAATCATATTTTGTAAGAGAGGTCACACACACTATAGAAATACAGCTATAAAATTTAGTGGAATTTTATATAACTTCCATATGCTAATTCCATTTGATTTCAATTTTTAACGGTGCAAAAGCCGTAATATGCAATCATGAGAGCTTAACTCCCAAAAGTTGCAATATTAAGTGTTATTTGCTACAGATAGCTTTACTAAATATGCATAGTGGTGTAGGGTCTCATAGAGTCCGCCTAGACTGACTTTTGTCCCTTCTATAGAAGTTGTAATTGGTTTTATCAGTTCTATGTGTATTTCAATTTGATTCACTGCAAAAACATAGAAGTATAAAGATAGGACAAGACAGAGTCAAAATATGGCAACCCTGTAAAAATACCTGTGTTGCTATGATATTATAACAACATACTTACCAGTGTTAGCTGATTTAAACCGCCAAGGAAATATTCAAATTTTTGGAAGGGTCAGTGGAATAGAATTTTGAAACCACAGTTTTTGGATTTTTCAAACTTTAATTTATCATTCGTTTCTGTAATTGTCATGAGTTGTTACACTATCTATTGAAGACACAAACCTTTTGCTCAAAATTCATTTTGTGTAGTCTTTAAGTCTTTATTCACTGTTTCAAAATGTTCACTTATTTTATTTAGTTATGGCAACCCTAGTCCGTATTGTTAATCTCTCTCTCTCTCTCTCTTCCTTTCATATCCAACACCTTTTAACACAACAATTTATCCTTTTTCTTTGCAGCTCTATGTTTACATCTTCCACCATCTGACCAATTGCAGCTGAAAACAATCACCGAAACGAATTTCCATTAACCAAACAAAAAATAAAAGAAAACAAATAAAATTAACAAAAGAAAAAAAATGAGTGTTACGTGAATTAGAAACAAAACCTAATAATAAAAACCAAATAATTCCTCCTCCCACAAAAAATATATATTTTCCTGCGTACTAGCGCCATCTAGACAAGAGTGTTGTTAAGTGTTGTGACAAATGGGTGAAAAAAGAGAGTGTTTGTGAGAGATAGGTAATTATGTGAAAAAAAACAGATTTGCCTCAGAGATTTCAAGAAGAGAACAGAGAACCAGTTTTGTTTTTATACTCCTTGAGAATTCCCTTCTCTCTACACCGTTCGTTCATCGATGTGTGTTTGTGTCACGACATTGCCAAACAACGTCAGCAGCATCAATGTAGCCGTAAAATTGACGAACCAAAAGTATTGACAAACAAAAGTAAAACAGCAGCAGCAGCAACAACAACCACACAGAGAAATTGCCCCCAACACAGCAGAGCAGAGCAAACATCTGTTTCGACCTCTATATAACTTTCTTTTTTTGTTTTTGTTTTCCTCCATACTCCACACAATACATATAGATTTTCCCTTTACTCTCCTACTCCCCAACCAACTCTCCCGTCCTACCTCTCGTTTTGCTACTGCCTTTCATTTTGCTTTTCTTGTGTGGTGGCTCCAATTGTTATTGTTCTTCAAATCCAAATCCAACCATCCAAACATTTTGCCGAGAGCGAGAGAGAGAGCGAAAGGAGAACAAGAATTGAATATAAACAAAACAACAATAACAGTGACATGCCCCCCATTTGTTGTTGTTGATGTGGTTGGTTAACAGAAGTCAACGTCGGTGTACACTTTGATTTGACATGTCTTTTGTGTGAGTGTGGATAAGTGAAGGCACAACAATCTAGCCATCAGAAGAGAGATAGTAGAGCAAACCCGCCAACCATAAAGACAGACAGCCAACAGTGTTGACAGCAACATCGCCGCCATCTTCATCATCATAATCGGGTGCAATAAAAGTAAGAAACCATTGCTGCGATTATTGCCATATCAGCTATCAGTTGGCAAACCTCTTCCAATCCCTCCGAGACACCTTTGCCGCCTCCTCTGCTTAATGAGTACACACCAATCACTTTTGTAGTGTCAGAGTCGTCGGGTGTTATCGTTTTCCGATATTAAGATGAGTTGTTATTGTTGTTGATGGATTCGACGACTAGTACAGTGCATCAACCAGCCACCAGTCACACTCACTTTAGCCGACAACAAACAGTAACAAGAGCCTCCTCGGCCTGATGATGTGCAGAGTTTTCCATGCGATTTGCACGTTTTAATACTCGACAATAACAAAGCAGCAGTACCATCACCACCACCACCACTAGCAGCAGCATCAGCAACAATCGCAAGTAGCTCGGAATCAACGGACCGTAAAGAAATTCAACAGCCAGCAGCCATCCATCCAGCCCAGCCTAGCCAGCCAGCAAACATAAACAAAGCGCAACAAACGCGGCAACTAAATGCACTTCACTTGGCCACCAGCAGCACCCATCATTATTATCCCCATTATCATCATCTGTCTTGCCATCGGCAGCATCATCAACGGCGGCCGGCCAACATCAGCAATAATAACATCTGCAGCAATTGCAACAGTTTTCTAAAGAAACCTCAAAACAAAACGCAAAAACAACAAACAAAAGAGAAAGAAATAAAGAAAGAAAAAAAAAAAACGAAACAAATCAAACACACACACATCCACTCAAACCTCTTCTCTGGGCAGGCAGGCAGGCAGCGAACGAACGAACTAACGAACATCAAGTAAACCAACCGGCAAAGACTGTAAACTCTCCCCGCCGTTCTTTCCCCCTCTTCCCCCCTACACAACCACAACTTGTGTGCAGACAGATAATAAAAGAAAAGCAAAGCAAAGAAAAGAAACCAAAACCGAAACGAATGTAGCAAAAAGCAGGAATATAAAGAAAAGAAAAACAAAATACCTACCTAGTATATATTAATACAAAAAAAACAACAACAGCAACAAGAAAACGAAGACGACGACGAGAACATCAAGAAGAAGATTCGCCAAAAGACAAAACGACGAAATAATAATAAAACAAAACAAGTGCTACTTGAAAAATGTCAACGTTCTTAAACAATTTCTTCCCGGCAGGTAAGTCCCAAAAGCAGATGTTTAATATATATTTTTATAGGTGTATGTGTATCGGTGTTTACATACATACGTGAGTGTGTGTGACGTGATGATCATCATCATAGAAAAATAAAATCGCAAACTTAAGGAATTCAGCAACAATTCTATTGAAACAAATTGCAATTGTTTTGATACCCTTCACGACACAGAGTAATGGAGGGTATATTAAGATTATCATTCCCTTTGCAAATTATCGAAATACTCGCAAAAGACCTCATAAGATATACGTATATAATGATGATCACCAAAATTTTAAGCCAATTTAACGATGTCCCTACGTCTGTTTAAATCAGGATAACGAATGAATTAATTAGGCATGGGCGTTTGTGAACTCCTAAGGTATGCTCGGATTCTCCTTAAATTTTTATGAAGATATTTTTAAGCTGATTATGGGATTTTTTGAAAAGGCCGGGGTACCCGGATATTCGGATAATAAAACCGGTACCCGGATATTCGGATAATAAAACCGGTTCCAGCGAACCGATATCTCAATATGGATATCATATGAAAGCGTATGAAAGTAAGAAAGAGGTAATTCTTACCGGTTCCGAAGTAATGCAAAAAATCCATATTTTTACAAAGCAACTTTTTGAAAGATCCCCAAAAAGTCAAAATTGGGCCAATTATCCTGATTATGAAACCGGTTCCAGCGAATCGTTATATCAATATAGATATCATATGAAAACTTATGAAAATACAAATTCAATAAATGGACATATTAGGGGTAATTTTTACCGGGTCCGAATACAAAAAAATCCATATTTTCGTAGAACAACTTTTGGAAAGGTACTCAAAAAGTCGAAATTGGGCCTATATTGGGACATTTGTATAAAATGTCAATATCTTTTTGGTTTTAGAGACATTTGTTTTTCAATTCTCAGGGAAATCAATTTTCATATTAAAATTAAGGTATTTGCTTGGATGCCGAAGGTCGGGAACTTGTAAAATTTATTAAGTTAAAAAAACTGTGGGTCGCGTAGCCGGTGCTAATTAAACATCAGATGTTTGCAAATGCTAATTTTTATTTGTGTTGGGTCAGGACAATATTGGTCTAATCCTTGAAATACCTTCCCCACAAATTTTATATACCTGTCGGCAAAACGACTTATACTTCATAACTTATCCTTAAAAATATCCCATACCTTTTCGAGGAGGATAGTAGACCAAAGCCAGACCAGACGACCGAAAGAAGTACACATAGAACAGAGAACTATATTGAGACCCTGTCTCCCTGAAAATTTTGTTTCCACAGAAGCATATAGAATCTAGTTCTGCCGACGAACTTTGCTATATATTATATTTTAAAATAGCTAGTTGCTGTACAAGAGAAAATCGAGATGTCTTAAAAAGCCTTAAATAATTCTTTATTAAGCTTAAGAGGCCTTCTTCGTTTCTTCCTCAAAACTTTCTTTGTTTCAATAAACCTTAAAGATATTTTATAAATCATAGAAGGCAGTAAAGATACATAAAAGGCGGTTAACTATTGATACACGGTAGTTTTCTAGAGAAACTTATAAAATATTTAAGGTTTTCTATACCAAGTTACCAGAGCTTAAAGGTGTCCTATAGAAACATAAATACCTCTTTAGTACTCTTTAGAAAGATGGAACACCTCTAAGGTCTTATACGTTAACAGAGACGACTTTTGAAGTCTTCAGCATTAACTAAGAGTTCAAAAAAACATAGAAGGTCCCTGAGGTCTTTCAGATAAAAATGGAAGGTCTTTAAGGTACTTTATAAAATCATGTGCGTGAATATAAAAACGAATTTAACTGGCGAAGATCCAAATCGCATAATTTATCAACGCACTGTATAACAGTTATAATTCTCAGTATAACAGATTGGTGTGAAACTGAAAACGAATTTATTTATATTTTGTATTTCTATTTCTATATATTTCTTTTGCTGTAGAAACTATCTTCTTCGCATGGGAATAGGGGTCAGACTGTTTTCGTAAGGTCTGAAGGAGCTTCTGAGTTTCAAAATACCATTTCTCCTTATTTAGCTGTTTTATATTAGTTTCTATACCCTCCACCATTCTATGGAGGAATTTCGAAATTCGAAATATTCACACCACGAAATATTCACTCCTAGACCCTACAAAGTATATATAAGTTCGTAAAAAGGACATGTCGGTCCACGTTTTCGTATAGCCGTATTCGGTATTTTCATGATTTTAGCGAAATTAATTACCGGAATTATTTCAAATCTGTTTGTATGCAGGTCCACGTCTTCGTATAGCCCCCATATAATGGAACCTTCCCATATTCGGCATTTTCATGATTTCAGCAACATTATTCACCGAAATCGTTTCAAATTTCGTATTAGAAGATCTTAATGGGTACTACAACCTATGTCAGAAAATTTCGTATGCAGGTCCACGTCTTCCTATAGCCCCGGATTTATCCTATTCACCGGAATTATAACAAATTTCGTATTAAAGTGGGTACTACAGCCTATGACAGAAAATTGTGTCCACGTCTTCGTATAGTCCCTATGTAATGATTTTCAATTAAGTGGTAATTTTCTGTTTTTTTTTTTTATGAAATTCTTCAAGTTCCTTACAAATGGTGGAGTGTATAAAATGATCGACCGGGCCGAATTTAGCTGCTTTTTTACTTGTTTATTGCTGGCCCAGTCATACGTTAGTCGTTTGTTCGGTCCCTGAAGATCCCATGTTTGTTAAGGTCTCAGAATGACAATGCAAGGAACTGTGTCTCACGATTATTTCCTTTCTTCTGTTGTTTTTCTGCAAAACGGCATGCTATAATTCTAAGTCACATGATTTCGAATTCTATCTATTTTTTGCATGGAGAATGTTTTTATATAACTCAATCTTCCAGGCTTGAGAGCAGATTATCGTCAAATAGTTCCACTTTATTACCTTAGCCCCAGCTTTTGCCAATGGGGTCCTTATTGGAATACATTAGGGTTAGAAATCTCATTGTTCGTTCCACTTTATTACTGATACATTAACATCTAAATAAAGGAAGCCTTTCAATTTCTATTAAAAAAAAAAAGCTCCAGCAGATTATTTTTGCTGTAGTACTTATATGAATTCTATATTTTCAACGACATTTCTCACCGACTTTATTATGATTTGAGTTTATAATGAGTAGTTTTAAAAAAAATTGTTTCCATCTAATATCAAATGTTGGTAAAATATTTTTAAACGTTTTGGATGGTGTTGATAGTTGGGACAGGTTCAAGACTACGTTATTTTTTATATAATATGTATGGCAATATCTGCAAATGTCAACGATTCCATTTTCATACATAACTAGAAGTTAAAAATTTTTATTTTCTCCGTACTCTGTAATCGAACGTGCCCTGGTGCTAACTGATTCCCTATATATTACTTTGGATTATTTTGTTCGTATAGCTATGCCATTGCACGGACTTGAATAGAAATGCCACATTAACCTTTATTTAGCCTCTATTTTCTTTTCAAAGGAAAAGAGTGTCTGCAAAGAAAAGATAGAATGGGAGCATAAAATGTCGCCCTTCTTTCAACGTTCCTCAATTATTTTGTTGTATATACACAAACCGGCATACATCAATTATATCTTGTTCTAAATCAGTTCCAATGTAATATTTATGAAAAAATATATATATAACTACATATTTATATAAAATGTATAAATATTGTCTATGTATCCCAGTGTTATTTTCCGTGTTGTTGTCATTTTGCAGATGTCAGCAACAGGTCGTGCAAACACACACACACACCTTTCTTTGCAGAAGTGTGGAAATTTCTTGAGAAATTTTTAAGAAATGGGAATTATGCAGACATAAATTACCTACTTAGAAGGTTAATTGGCACAAAATAAGTGATTTAAGACAATTTCATGGAAATTGTATTATTTTTTTATTTCTGCTTTCTTGAGCAAGAGAATGGGGTGTTCATACATGTATGAAGTACATATTGTATAAAGTGTTTGATTGTATTTGTGTGTGCGAGATACCCGAAGTGTAACCAATCTGTACATGTTTAGAATTAAATATGTATGTTAGAATTTTAATAGAATATTTATATATTTATTTTAAAAATATTAAAGAATGTGAATGTGTGTATGCGATTTGTGGCATGTGTACGACCGCTGGAAAAACTGTTCCAGGTCCTTCCTTGCCTTGTAGACATGTTCAAGGTTTTCTTTTTATTTAAAATATATTGAGGGTCCCCTGCCGAACCCCTCTTGCAGATTATTCATCTTTAGAAGAACCTGGTAAAAAAAAAAACTATCCTGTTCGTGCCCTAGAAGACCTTTTGAAAATATATCCATAGAAGAGCTGTTAAAGATTTCCTACCTATAAAAGGTATGTAGGCTTTTTTGTTGTTTCAAAATGGCCATGCTTTATCCCTTTATTGTTGTTTTTATAAAAACAACGTTTGTTTATTAGTGGAGAACGATGGTAATGTTTACCAGTGGGTAAGGCAGGGAATACCTAGTTGAAGTAGGGATAAAGCCTGACCATTTTGCAACAACAAAATACTACGGTATCCCGAACAAACAAGCCAACACTGTTCTGGTATGTAGACTTTATATCTAAGGAACCTCTGTTAACGACCTTATATCTATAAACGGGGTCTGGATATTCTATAATAAATGTGGATCTTCTAGAAGAGCTGCGAATCTTTCAAAGCATACTTAGAGTTTATATATTTGTAGAGATTTAATAATAGATAAATAGATCTGCTGATCTTCTCATAAAATATATTTTTACATTCTCATAGAAGATCTGTATATCATCTGATGGAAAATCTTTTTACCGACGATCTGTAGACCTTTTCCAAAAGATATAGATCTTCCCAAAAAAGATCGATGTTGTTTTTTATAGAAGTTCTAAGAATCTTCTTAAAAAATCTATAATACCTCTCAAAAAAAAGCAAGCTAAAACGCATATACAGGGTGAGATAAAAAAAAACTGCAGCAAAGTCTAACGCCATAATTTTTACATAT